GACGATAAAAACAAATCGATCGTCAGGCGGGACGTTTAATTAGAAGCAAATAGTTACAGGGCGCGGCTCTCGCTCTCCCGAGGGAGCGCTCGAACGGCTACCCGTACCATCGCGTAATCGCGATTATTAATACCAGTAATGGCGCTTCCGGTGGTTGCGTCTCGACCCGACTCGTTTGTCCCACGAATCCCTAGCTTGAAAATTCACCTTACCCACGTTAACTGCCGAGAACATTTCCCTCCGTTAAACTACCACCGGTGGCTCTTGGCTGTACGTTCGCCTCCTCTTTGATTCTCCTTTCTGACATGCAAATGAATTATTGGCGCGTGGAATGAAACGAATCTCGCTTTTATTTGAGACACACGATATTTTCCGAATCGACGAATCGAAATGAAATCCTTCGACGTCGCTCGGCGAGTTTCGCGTTGGCCAATGCACCAATTTGCGTGCACGTAATCACGAGGTCGGATAAGCGAGTCCGAAATCTACTATCCTTGCTCGGAGCAGCGTCCATTTCGTGAGCGAGATAAGACGCTTTTAATATCTGCGAACTTACGGAACTCGCGCGATTACTCTGATAGATAGAACGCAACGACCATTTCGCGACGACTGTATGGGATGAATAAGCCAAGTGTTGAACGACCCAGATATACGTACTCGCAGTGTTATTTCGAACAAAAAAAAAAGAGCAAAGAATTGCGAACAATCGATTCCGAATCGAATGTTAACTGATCACCGATTGAAATCTGCTATCGAAACTGTGCGGACGCACGATAATTAACTTGCAATTGTCCTCTCGCGCGATCCTCTCGTTCCTATCGGATTGCGTAAAATAAAACGATAAATCTTCCTAGAAGCGTATCGCATTCACGCATGCTTTTCCCTTCGGTAAAATTACGTCCGCGCTTAGTCCAGCCGATACCGAATACTTTTCGGATTACAGATAAAAATATTCAAACGCAAGTGTATGAAAAGACTTCCTCTCGTTACAACGAAAATCTTTTTCTACTTAAAAATACTTCTTTACCTAATAATGCTTAAAAATAATAATTGAAAATTGGTATATAATTTAATGGAATATATTGGATCATCTAAAAAGTATCCGCGGTTTTTTGTCATTAGATGGTGTTGATGGTCAACATCATTAAATTTAATTAAAAGATTAGGTATTCATATTTTGTTCTTATTTTAAAGCCCCAGACACAATGTGAAGGAATGGCGATAGCGATAGAAACAACACGATTTCAACCTATCAGAAACTGTATATTCCAGTGTATCTGATTTCTGATAGGTTGAAATCGTGTTATTTCTATCGCTATCACTATTCGCATTGTGTCTTGGGCTTTAGACCATCATAAGTAATGTCTTAAGATGTTAATACTTTAGAAAAAAAGATTGAAATTCACTCTTCTTCATTTAATTAAGGAAGATAGAATGGGCAATTCTTTTCTCTCAACAGTAGTAGTTTCTCCAAGAATATAAAAATGGATATACAAATTTCTAAAATCGATCTAAAAATCTCTTCAATTAATATAAATCAATTTCCGATTAAGCCGATCCTAGATGCTTTTCAGATTGTAAAAAAAAAAATATTTGGAGATACTTTCCTTGTGGATTCGAACGGTAGATAAAATGTGTGACACATGCAATCTTCGTGTGCACGGAAAGCAGTGCACAAACCGGAGCACAGAATCATACGTTATCTCTATCAGTTCGCGTACGTGTCAATTAAACGCACTCGCTTTCGCGATGTGTTCGTATGTCTGCGTACCTTCGAATTTTACTCGTATGAAATGGGTATCCCGTGACTGGATTACAATCGTTGAACTTTGAACATCCATGCAAAACGGGAAACGGAACGCCGGAGAGAGAAAAAAAGGAAGAGTCAGGTGTGCAGGCAGGCAGACGGGAAACCTGTTCAAAATCGGCGATATATTCTTCGAAAATGATTTTCCCCTCGCTCGTATTTGATAGTTCGACTATGACGGACGGCTACGATGGTTGATTTATCGCTAGCTTAGAGAATCCCGGTAGATTACAAACTTTGCTCGCATGAGTAATTATTCGGCAGATAATGGTCTGATTCTGAGGCGAGACTCGAGACGAAAACTTATCACCGTTCGTCGCGCATCATTGGACCGAATCACTCGAGTATCTCATTCGCGATTTCGCTGCGTATACATCTACAAATGTTATTTCGAACAGAGCAAAGAGCAGTAAAAAGTTACGATTAATTCTGAATTACACATTAACTGAATTTAATGACTGAATTTCTATTTGTCATCTGCTAAAAATTACTTTCATGCGCAAATTTTGATAAGTGGTCGGAATATTCTTGGATATATGCACTGATATGAAAAAAAGATCGTTCATTTGATTAAATTAATTTAATTTCTTTTATTTCTTTCGAAAATTGTATGTATTTAAGTCAAACATATATTCGACTTAAATAAATATACTGAAGAAAGAGAGAAAAAAATGGTTACAATTATCTTAATTTAACTATAATTTATAGTCAATTTTTGGGACAATTTGTATATTTACAGTTGTTTTAATCACGTAAATACAGTTAATTGCCGTATTAATAAGAATCTCACACACACTGCTTAAAAATCTTTAGTTTTTCTTAACATATTTTTTAGTTATTATTACCACGTAAATAAATTTAAGAAAATGGTTATAGTTGCGATCGCATTTACTGAATAAAAATATTTATTTTATTTATCATTTAAATCTTAATATTCTACTATAATAATAATATTTGAAATTATCATGATTTATATTATAACACAACCTTCTCATATTTGAGAGAACATATATTTATGGCTATTATTATCAACATGGCAATAATAATTACATAAAAATGGAGCTCCTATCGTAATTATTTTATCATTTTGTGTCACAATCAATGTTTTCTTCAATGAAAGAAAATATACGAACAATTAAATTAATTTAATTTATTAAATAAGCAATTAATTTAAAATTCAAATTCAAATGAACATTTTTTTCCTCAATGCGTATTTAATTTCGGCGCATCGACAATACGCTAATATCATCGTCAGACAATTTATGAACGTTAAAAAAAAGGGATCTTCCGTCCGTGAGTTTCCGATCGATTCGGAATTAACGAAATTCGCGCGGAAGCAAGCCGCGGGCGTGAGTGCGAACGCAGAATTTTGCTGCGTGATTGCTGCGCGATCCGATTGCAATTCGATGGCGGATTTTTGAATGGCCATGGAAATTGAGGGGATGAGGAAAATCTCCCGTTCGCGACACGACGGGCGCACGCTTCTCCTCATCGTGTCGCGTGTCCGTGACAGGATTTTCTCGAGAGCGAGTCGTCGACGGTGTGTTAAATTCCGCGCGGGATCGTCCTACATAAATGTTGCTGAAAAGTTTTCCGTTGTCCCGCGTGTATTACTCGTTTCACCGCTCCCGTTGCGCCAGACAGAAATGCCTAAACTATCCTCCGGTTGGATTAATGGCGTCGCGGTTTACGAAATAAGCGCAGTGTTCGTTGCAGCCGAAAAACAAAAGGACATATTGTTCGAGGTTACTTTTTCTATTAAAGAGAAAAAATAAATAAATAAAAAGAAATTCATGAAAGCTTAAATTATAGGAAAAATAAATAAATTAAATATAAATTCAATCGGATCAAAAATTAATGTAGACGTCTGTAACATAATGTAAATCTCTGGTGTTCGTTTATTTAGTTCTTTTTAAAAGAAAAAAAAAAAAGTTTGCGAAATAAGCAACTTTTAATTGAGAAAATGTAGTTATATTAATATTTTTTAAATGATTATAGTCGACTTTAACGTGAATTATTGTTTGCTCTAGTTACGAAGTAAATTACGAAGCTCGTTTTTTTTTTATCGTAACCAATGATAAAGAGATAATTTCAGTCCTCCGCTGCTCCGACACGAAATTACGTCCCGTAAATGAGCTTGATCACTTTGGGATTCAGTTTTACGATTATCTCTCCAGCACGAGTGTCGATTTTAGTCAGATCGGGATCCGATCTTAATGTATTCACTCTTTTCTGATTTCTTTTCACCCTATTTCTTTTCTTATCCGCGGAAGGTGGTCGAAGGCATCGGTATCGAATCAGGCAGCATGCCAAATCGCACCTTCGGGAAGATAAAGAAAAAGAAAAGGACAATCGGTCGGGTCGGGAGCCATTCACGAAAGTCTTCCCATGAAATAGCCCTCTTTCCTTAATCACCTTTCGTTTTAACGGCCTTCCAAGGGAAATAGAACGAGGAAATCGTCGCGCTGATAAGTGCCTCGGTGATCTTTTATACTTTTCATGTTTGACTTCGCCGTACAACTTTAATATCACATATTATTTTTATTATTCGACCACCAGCGTTTAATTAATACTGGGACCGTGCTAATCGATAACAATTTTCGTATGATATGTCATGATATAATAAAGTCAAATGGTATTCAGGAATGGTATAACCGAAAGAGCTCTAAATTCGATTATTTGCTGTTATGCGTGTTGATGAAAAAAAAAAGAGAGAGATTTAACAGGAGTCGGTAGAGAGCATGAGCAAAAATTATTTCTACAGAATGATTCGTTACATGTGGCTGATCAAATATCGGTAGACCGAATGAATATATACAAGCCTGGTGAAATGTTAAAAAGGGAGAATAAATAAAAAAAAAAAAAAAATCAACGTCAGCCTTGCACAACGAGGATATTCGTACCAATAGCAACGGCACAAAGGGCTGCAATCTCTCGTATAGTAAAAACGGGAAACGACTTCTGGCGCGGTTACGCAAGACACGGAAATATATTGAAAACCTCTCGGGGCTCTCTGAAAATACGGGTACACGTTTTGTAGCAACGTTAAGGAAATCCCGAGATCGACAAAAGCACATCTATCTAGCCGCAGAAGATCTTTCGACGCGCCGGAATACGTTACGACCTACTTTAATTAATTGGAATTGAAGGGAATCGCTCGCAAAAAAAATCTCGTTACGTCGATGCTCTTTACCTTCTCAGAGTCGCCAATCGCTGCTCTTGTGCCGTGATGTATCCGTTTAGCGTGTCGATCAGCACGGCTTCCGTTTCGAGCAGCTCCTCCATATCCGCCAGGGCGGTGTAAAGTTCTGCCACGGCATCGCGTGCCGTCGTCGATAGTAAAATCGTTACGACAGCTAATAGAGTCTCCTTCCTCATCTCCGACCGATACTGTTAATTAAAAAGAGATTTATAAATGTAGTAATTTATACGTACATTCGCATTTTCTATTATTTATATATTCACATAAATAATACTCAAATAATGCTGATACTACAATAAATAAATTTTGTTCATAAAATTACGTCATTTGCATAGAAATTCTGTGATGAATTTAGACTTCGGATTTTTTATGCGGATATTTGTGCAGATGTATACAAAATTTGTACAAATACGCAAATATGCACAATGTGTACAAATAAATATGCATTTTTAGAATGCTTTTTTGATGAGACGAATTTCTATTTTGATGATGTTTTCCTCTTCTTTCTAAATCCTAATATCTAGTGATGATAAATATGAAAGTATTTGTCTGTCATATAACGTCGATACTTCATTTTTTAAATTTCGATTTAATTAAATTTCGACGCTTCAAAAAATTATTAATATATCTTGAAAAGAATTCTGACAATCAAGTATATAAAATAAAGATACTAAGATGTGAGATATCTATTTTATTTTCATTAGAGATAATTTATAGAATTCTCTCTCTCTTTTTGATAGAATTCTCAAAACGTTATTTAAAACTGTTAAAAAAACATTGAGAAAGTTTTAATAAACAAAAACTTTTTATTCGCGAAACAAAAAATCGTCAAAATTCTTTTCGAACATGTCAGGAACTTTAGAATTTCATTTAGAAAAAGTTTTACTCTATCTATAAGTTATATCGAAGTTCTGAAAGTGGAATGCTAACTTCAAAGAGGTATTTGTTATTTTGCTGCTGAAATTGACTATATAAGAACGAATATAAATAGATCCAGTATATGACGAACCGGAAAATAAATTTATGATGAAATTCAGCAACATATTTTAAGAAAATAATTATTTTTTTCATATATGTATCTCCAATATGTATCTCGTGCATAAATTCTACCTATTTTCTGTGACGTCGTTTCCATTTTCACCTCATCAAAAATTATAAAGAGATTATCCCAGCTATTATTCATGCATCATTCAAATAATAATTTACGCTTCAATGTAGCTGCTCATCCCGCTAAAGTTTCATCTCAACTTCGTATACCAGGACCGAGTTGCGGTTCACAAACACACATTGACTCGATCCCATCCTCGCAGCATCCTATTGTTCCCTGTAAAAGAGCAATGCGAGAGCCTGGAGTCCCGTACTTTGGTGGGCGCCAAAATTTTCCCACGAAAAGCAGAACTCTCGTAGCTTCACTGTCGAAAGCTGCGAACTGGGATGATGATGTGTCACCATGAACGTACGGATCAGTGCCCGCGCGTGTTTGTGTTACGAAAATTTGCGGCTAGCAGAGGACCGGAGTTTGCGCTGATCGTACAACTTACACCTGTCGGATCGACGATTTATTCCGTCACGCCGGCGATGGCACGTAAACTCCTCTCTTACCTTTTCCACCTACATCCCCTTCCATGCTCTTAAGCTACCGCGGCCGATCTCTCGTCCCGTGTCACCCTCGTGTAGCTTTTCTACCTCCATCCCGTCCCACTTTGCGGCCGCTTTCGAGAGCTGTTCTCGTGGCGAGTGGCTTGAGAGAGCGAGACGTGTCAATACCCGCATAACTCGATGTTACGATATTCGATGCTCGTATAATGCGCGAAGAGATTACGCACTTTGAAGATCACAATCATCTCAGGGGTATTCGCAAATTGCACATTTTGTTGCAGTTTTTTTTTTTTTCAAAAACAATAAGTGACTCAGAACAATTTAATCGCTCATCTCAATAAAATTTATTATATCGATTGTCATGAAACTGAAGAAATAGAACAAAAAGTTTTATATCAATGTTCGATATATTTGTTATATTTTGATATAAACGGTAATATCAAATGTTTTATCCTTTTGTGACATATTGTATTTTGCTTTATAAATATATATATGTATTTACATTTTCTAAAATAATCCTTCACATACATGAAGCCGTACAAATAAATTATTCGTTTGCGTGGAATAATAATTTTCGATATAAATAGCCTCAAGTAATTTCTGAAAGTCATTCAAGAGATTTACAAAAAAATTATTAATAACTAATTTAATGTTTAATCAAGTAATCTGGTAATTATTTAAATAATTTAATACATCAGTAACTAATTATATATATATATATCATTAATAAATTACTAAATTTCAGCTATCGTCAATTTTAATTAACTAATTACAGAATAAAGTTCCGTAAATATCGAGGATAACGCCGTGTTGAGAAAATACACCACTTCCGCGTGGCGCGTAATAATTCTTTCTGCGAGCAGGTGAGAGGAATGTGGTGGCGAAATGACAGCGATTCTCGCTATTTTTTCGCCGGCGGCTATTTTTTCGTCCATTCTCCTCATCTCCGTTGCAACGTCCCTAATTACGCGTACCGTAAATTGACTCAGCCCCCTCTAGACCCTTCTTTCATCACTGCGCCCCTGGTAATCGAGCTTGGAAGCCACCTCGTGGTGAATTAAACGTGAACCACATGGTCACATATACACGTGATAAAAAGACACGCATTGTTACGTACTCGGTGACACCGAGACATACCCTCTTCTCTGACGCAGACAAATTGCTTGCGCAGATTTTTCGCTGCAATCCCTTTCATGTTCTATTAACACTTCTAGTTACTCAATCTTATGCCCTTTTTCCCCCTATTCCTTCGGTTTTACTTTGCGCTTTTTGTCAGATCGGGACAGCGCTCTTTGCGGTGACGGATTAAAGCATACTCAGAGAGTACGAGAGTTTCACATCTCCAAAGATTACTCCTTATCTGTTCGTTATTAAAAATGTAAGAATCAAGGGAGAAGATCGCAGAATGTTAAATGTCATTACTTTCGCAAAGATTAATAAAATAACATTAAGAAATAGAATTTCTCTCTGCATTTGGAGACAACGCGAGCGCCGAGAAGATTAATCAACTAGATAATGGGAATCTTGATTATCGAAAATCGGATAAAGTACTTTCTTGGATATTGCAATTTTCGCTTACACAAAGTTGGCCTCACTAATCTAACTCCATTTTACGGTACGTTGCAGATAAACCGCATGAGACACACTAGATGTGTTTCTTTACTGTAGCACCATGTGGCTTATACCTGTCATAAAAGATTACAGTACTCTGCAAATTGCGTCCAAGTTATCCAATCAGATCGAAGTTTTCCAACCGCCAGACGCAGGCAAGGAGAACAAAGTTTATAAAATTATTGAAGGGTTTCTCGAAAATGTCCACACGCATTATTGTGCACCGTTCCGCAAAGTCGAAGGCACAACGAAGAGACGACAATGTAATATAGGCGAGAAGTCGTATTTTTTTTCTTCTTACTCTCGGTAATTTTTTTCGTGGATCATCATGGCTCCTTTTAAAACTTAACCTCGGCCTCGCGGTAATTCGCTCCACGAGAAAGTTTTTTCTTTCGGGAAAGCGCTTAATTAATCGGTCCTTCGGCGAGATTACAGGAGCTCGTCCGAATTTCCAACAGGACCAGAATTTAAACAAAAATTGCTTCCTCCACTCCACCATATCCGGCATACCGGTCCGCGAGAATTTCGTGCTAATTAGCAATTAACTAGTTTCGAGAAACCTCGCGCGCGCGATAGAATTCGCTGGCGCGTCGCTTTGTTCGATTCGGGATTACGTGTTATTTATCGACGACATGTCTCAATATTAATCAGCAAAATGTCCGCGAAACACGAAACTCGAGAGACCTGCTCGAAATGGGAGACTGCGCGTCGGGATACGTCAACCGATCCTTGGATGCGGTTTCAATGACGGATTCTCCCTTTAGCCAGGATCTCTAAGCTCACATTATCAAGATACCGCACACTCAATATCCCGGCAATATCGCGACTCTCCGTTATCCGGAGCCTTCAGAAAGACGTGAATGCCACTAATAAGAAGATCACGGCGCGACAGGTCGTGCAAGCAAAAAGAGGCCGCTGACGTGATGGTGGGTGGTTTTCAAGTTTCAAAGCGCGTTGCAGCTTCAAAATGGTAATTTCACGGCCTCGCGAGCATCTCGCCCGCGGCCAATTTAATTCCGGACGGATGATCGCGCCGTCTCGTTCGTACTGTCCCTTTATTTTTCTCCGTCTGCCTTCGTCTATCCGGTTTGCGACGCCACCCGATCCCGTTCGAACTCGTTATACACCCCGGATGCGACCTTGCGACTTTCATCCCCAGTTCGCTTCTTTTCTAAGGGTCGCTCGCTCGTTCGCGCCTCTCCGCGAAGGGTCGACTCTTTTGCCCCGTCTTTTTGTATTTTTTTCCCCTCTCGTGTCCCAACGACTCTCTTTCTCTCCCCTCAAATTATTTCGATGGAAATTGCTTCTCGTTAGTATCGATCCGCGTACACAAAACTTCCCGATCACCATTAACGGAGGCGATCAAGCGTCGCCTTCAGTCAATACTCAACTGGTGCTACAATCCTACAAATTATTAATCCCTTACAGGTTGTTAATACGGCGAACATTCAGAGAAAGTTATTCGATCGGGAATATACAATATTATCCGAAAAACATTTTAATGTAGCATATTAAAGGAAAATTTATTTCAATAATGCACGAATATTATAGTAACGGTGTGTTGAAATAAATTGTTTACGAGCACTACCTTGAACGAAGTTACGTCTATTTAAATTTCCTCCATCGCTATATCCATCATTTTGTTTCAACTCAAATTAATTTAATACTAAGGGGCTCTTATTATTCCGATCCCGTCAAGATTCTCACCGTCCGGAATTCCTACGAGAAAGTCCCGTCGACTAGGTTCATCAATTCTATACCTCATTGAATCCAGTTGCCACAGTCGAATTGGGCAAATGAGTAGAAAACGCTCTACTAAATCTCACGTAGAACAAATTAGCGAAGAAAATTTCACAAAGTATTATCATTAATAATCTGTCCGAAATCTCAAATGCCTCCTTCAATGTCTACAAAAACATCTAAAACTGAAATTTCTTTTTTTTCTAATACATAATACTTGAAAATAATCCTGTCAATC